AATGAGGATGTTGAATTAAGAGATTTCAGAGGTTTCTTCCTAGCTTGGGAATCATTTGGTTCTCTGACGTGGCAGTGGAGGAAAGCAGGAGAGAGGATTAAATTTAGCTGAACAGAACTGTGGAGCCAAATCTGTCCTACTTTAATCATAATGTGGTGAATGATGAGGAAAATGATTTTAGTGAGTTTAACACTAAAATTAGAATATAACATAAAAGAATATTCTAAAATTTACCAAGTGTGGTTAGAAAACTTCACTAGTAGAAAATGATTGTATAAATAGGGACTTGTAGCCTGGATTGTTCGTTTGTCAGTTTGAAAGGCGAGCCCACTACATTTATTTTATTCTGTATTGGAGTTTGGAATTTCAAAAATGGAAAAAAAAATAGTCACTTGGTATTGACCATATAAAGTTTTGTTTTATTTTGCAGTTAAGCAATTAAGAAGGATTTTTCATTTAAATTCTGCTGTGTTGTAAGAGTATCAAAACTATCTTCAGGTTTTGGGACCAGCAGTTAGCGTAATGGCTATGTCACTGAACTCCCATGTAGTCGACCATGGTTTGAGTCCCAGACCTGGTGGCTTAAACTCACACCGGGCCCATGTGTTGGTGTGCCTAAGATCCCAGGAGGAAAATGGAGGAGAAGGGATTGTGGCGTGGCCATCCCCCACGGGGGTGATTTCTCGCTTTCTGTCTCTCTGTCTCTCTGTCTCTCTCTGTCTTCCTGGTGAGCACACACGCCCTATAGCAAAAATCTCTCTGTAAAAAACAAAAACAAAAACTATCTTCAGGTTTTCGAGAGCCTGATTTAAGGTATTTCTGTGGAGTGCTTAGAAGTGCTGAGATAGTTTTCCATGCTGAATAATAAAGAGAAGGTGCTGATGACATCCAAGCTTTATAAATATTATCCTTCTTTTCCCCATTCTTTGCCAGATTTAAACCTTCACCACAAACCAAGCAGTACACGTTCGGTTGTAGGATGTCTTTCCCATAATCAATCACTTTACTTAACCTGTTTTGTAAGGCAGGGCCTTACGGTGTTGCAGTCTTCCCTCTTCGGCTGCGTAGATTGCTGGGATTATAGGTGCATGCCACTGATCCTGGACTCTTAGGTTCGATTGGGAATTGAACCTGGGACTCTTTGTGGTCCCAGCCTGTGGAACACAGTGTCTTAGCAGTGCATGTCACCACAGCTTGGATCTACTTAACTGATTTTTAAGTGGGGAACCTATTAGGTCATCGGAAAGGTCAAGATGTGTTTTTCTTTCTTACTTTCCTTCTTGCTTTCCTTCCTTCCTTCCTTCCTTTCTTCCTTCCTTCTTTTTCTTTTTCCTTTTCCTTTTCTTTTGCCTTAGGGAATATGTATGTGGCGTGCAAGATAGAGAGACAGAGACAGTGAGAGGGAAAGTGAGAAATCACCTCCCTCACCCCTGGCAGGATGGCCACACAGCAGTCCTCTTTCCTCCATTTTCCTCTTTGGATCTTGGGCACGTGCGCCTGGCTGGTGTGAGTTTCAGACTGCTGGTCCTGGACTCAAATCACAGTTGGCCATGTGGGAGTTCAGTAACATAACCACTATGCCATCTGCTCACCCCATGATGTATTTTTCTATGCAAAAATGCATCATGATTTCCAACAACTCAGTAATTTATTGGTAGTAACAAGAATTACATTTTTTTCAAAAATTTATTTAATTTTATTTGTTATCATTATTATTTTTTGATCTGGCCAGAGAAAAAGAGAAGGAAAGTGAGAAAGCAAGCTGTCAGGTCCGGGATTTGATCCATGGTCGGGTATTGGAGTTTGGAATTTCAAAAATGGAAAAAAAAATAGTCACTTGGTATTGACCATATAAAGTTTTGTTTTATTTTGCAGTTAAGCAATTAAGAAGGATTTTTCATTTAAATTCTGCTGTGTTGTAAGAGTATCAAAACTATCTTCAGGTTTTGGGACCAGCAGTTAGCGTAATGGCTATGTCACTGAACTCCCATGTAGTCGACCATGGTTTGAGTCCCAGACCTGGTGGCTTAAACTCACACCGGGCCCATGTGTTGGTGTGCCTAAGATCCCAGGAGGAAAATGGAGGAGAAGGGATTGTGGCGTGGCCATCCCCCACGGGGGTGATTTCTCGCTTTCTGTCTCTCTGTCTCTCTGTCTCTCTCTGTCTTCCTGGTGAGCACACACGCCCTATAGCAAAAATCTCTCTGTAAAAAACAAAAACAAAAACTATCTTCAGGTTTTCGAGAGCCTGATTTAAGGTATTTCTGTGGAGTGCTTAGAAGTGCTGAGATAGTTTTCCATGCTGAATAATAAAGAGAAGGTGCTGATGACATCCAAGCTTTATAAATATTATCCTTCTTTTCCCCATTCTTTGCCAGATTTAAACCTTCACCACAAACCAAGCAGTACACGTTCGGTTGTAGGATGTCTTTCCCATAATCAATCACTTTACTTAACCTGTTTTGTAAGGCAGGGCCTTACGGTGTTGCAGTCTTCCCTCTTCGGCTGCGTAGATTGCTGGGATTATAGGTGCATGCCACTGATCCTGGACTCTTAGGTTCGATTGGGAATTGAACCTGGGACTCTTTGTGGTCCCAGCCTGTGGAACACAGTGTCTTAGCAGTGCATGTCACCACAGCTTGGATCTACTTAACTGATTTTTAAGTGGGGAACCTATTAGGTCATCGGAAAGGTCAAGATGTGTTTTTCTTTCTTACTTTCCTTCTTGCTTTCCTTCCTTCCTTCCTTCCTTTCTTCCTTCCTTCTTTTTCTTTTTCCTTTTCCTTTTCTTTTGCCTTAGGGAATATGTATGTGGCGTGCAAGATAGAGAGACAGAGACAGTGAGAGGGAAAGTGAGAAATCACCTCCCTCACCCCTGGCAGGATGGCCACACAGCAGTCCTCTTTCCTCCATTTTCCTCTTTGGATCTTGGGCACGTGCGCCTGGCTGGTGTGAGTTTCAGACTGCTGGTCCTGGACTCAAATCACAGTTGGCCATGTGGGAGTTCAGTAACATAACCACTATGCCATCTGCTCACCCCATGATGTATTTTTCTATGCAAAAATGCATCATGATTTCCAACAACTCAGTAATTTATTGGTAGTAACAAGAATTACATTTTTTTCAAAAATTTATTTAATTTTATTTGTTATCATTATTATTTTTTGATCTGGCCAGAGAAAAAGAGAAGGAAAGTGAGAAAGCAAGCTGTCAGGTCCGGGATTTGATCCATGGTCGGCCATGTGGGAGTCCAGTGCCTTAACCATCATACCACTTGCCGGCCCCAGTAACAAGAATTAATTATTTCTCTTTGGTTGACGATAGAATTTATAGCAAATGAATGTTTAAGTAAAACAAAGCCAACATTTTTCATTAAATAGTTTATTTCCAGCTTTCATGTCTAGAGATCGTACCTTGGTATTTGTAGGCAAATGCCCGTCAAGGTAGAATGTTACCAGTCAGTTAATTTTTCCTTGAAATCTAGGCCTTATTTAAGCATCAGTTTTAGACTTCGGGCATTATAAGATGAATAACTTAGACAGATTTGTTTTTTGCATCAAAGGTAGATAATTGCTAGGTACGCTATTTTTTCTACTGTTGGGCAGAATGTTTCCTACTTCTTACTAGAAGGCAACCCTATTTTGCCTCTTTTGTGCCTAATGCAGTCCTCCATTAGGAAAATGCTTTAGAATAGATATTTGTCTTAAGGTATGTACTTCTTGCGACCAATCACCGTCAAACTCAGTTGTGGTTATAAATAAGCCTTTTTCCTGAGATGCCATAGGTTACACCACTGAAAGTGAGCAGTGAAAATGCTGGAAGTGTCAGTGAAGTGCACCCCTGGGCATGTTTCTTGATAGGGTTAGGAACCCGTTTTGAAGTTTTGTTTCTATTCTGTCTGTATGGTATAGACAAGTATGGGGACTTATATTCAGTGAGGATTAAAGATAATAATCTGTTGGGTCATCAGAAAAGTCATGATGCATTTTCGCATAGAAAAACACATCATGGCTTCTCCAGTGGCCCAATAGCATGGCAGTAGCAGTTGGATTTTCACAGGGTACCGTTATTGCTAATAATGCATTTGTGTATGTGTGTGCGTGCATGTGTGTATATACATAATATTATAAAACACACACATACACACATAAATATATACAAAAACACACACATTGTTTGGTGCCAACTTACCCGCCTATTGTACCTCTCCTTATTTTGTTGGATGCTGGGTAAACTATGTAGCTTCCGTAAAGACCTTATACTATAGCAACACGATTATTTGGGGGGAACCTGGATTCCTACTTGTCTCACCCAGTGACCTGTTGCCGGTAGTGCCTTTCTATATACTGTGAAATCAGGTAAAAGTTTCTTTCTGTCAGCTGAAAAGAACCCTAGTATGAAACTTATACAAGGAGTAAGTTTTATTTCAAAACACAAAGTTTAGATATGTGATTGAGTCAGTAAATGTTTTCAAAAGGAAACAACAGACCCCGCTCTATACATGGTTAAGAAGTTTTTAAAAATAAGATTTGCCAAAAAATAATTTTTCCATTTGAAAAAATGTCCTAGTGAGCATACAATGTAGTATTATAATTATTGGTGCTAGTTAAAAACTGTATAGGGACAAAAAAGCAATTGAAATTGTATAATACAGAAGTAAGAACCAGACTTCTTTTCATTGAATTTGCTATCCATAAGGACACTGATGGGGAGAGTGGGCAACCGTTAGTACTTTAATACATTTTTCAAACATCTAAGCTTAGGCTCATGTAAGCAGTTTTAATATTCTAATTCAGAACCCAGTGGCAAACGGGTTTCGATGACTAAACATTTCTGTGGTTTTGTTGAACAGCTCAGAAATATTTCTTGGCTTAGAACGATAATGTTTTCTAACCTGTCCCGCTAATTGCTGCTCTTAGTTCTCATAAACTGAATGTAAAACACTTTAGCATGACGAAAGTATTTCTTGAGATACTTGTTTTCTACTTTTTTCATTATAGCTTTTGAGGAACTTGAAAAAGCCTTGAGTACAGCCCAAAAAACAGAAGAAGCACGGAGAAAAATGAAAGCAGAAATGGATGAAAAAATAAAGGCTATCGAAAAAACAAATGAGGAAGAGCGAACCAGTTTTCAACAGGAATTAAGTCGGGTGAAACAGGAGGTGGTTGATACAATGAAAGTAAGAATAATTCTGGATTGGAGTGGGCTACTGCGATTTGAAACTTAAGGCTGATGTTTTTCCTACAGTCTTTGAAGGAAGAGTTCATTTGTATTTTAGACCTTGACAGTTTCGTGATATTTAAGATACAATAAACAAGAAGGACTTTGATAGAGAAGGGAATTTAATACTTAGGTGATCCTTCGAAACTTCGAAACGCTGTTCTCACTCTAGTGGGCCGTGTTATAAACTGAGATGTGCATGAACTGTTCTGTGCTCCCTGTTAGGCTCCTTGAAGGCAGGCTGCCGAGCTGTTTTGTAGTGTGCCTTCCACAGAATTTGACCAAGAAGGAGCTTGGTATTTAAGGGAGTGATGGAGAATGTGCCTGAGATGCTAAGTTGTCTTAAAATATTTTAAAGAATCATTATTACTTAATGTTCTGTTTCTTCTCCTTTTTTTTCTTTTCTTTTTTTTTTTTTTGAGAGAGATTTTTGCTATAGGGTTCATGTACTCTCCAGAGAGACAAAGAGAGACAGAAATAGACAGAAAGAAAGTGAGAAATCACCTCCCAGGGGATGGGCCACACTGCAAAACCTCCTCCTCCATTCTCCTCTTGGGATGTTGGGCACACGTAAATGCGGGTAGTGACCTTTTGAAAAGGTCTCTTTCAGAATTTAGTCAATTTTTTTTTTTTTTGAGAGGTTTTTGCTATAGGGCACGTGTGCTTGCCAGAAAGACAGAGAGACAGAGAGACAGAGAGACAGAAAGCGAGAAATCACCCCCCGGGGCGATGGCCACGCCACAGTCCTTTCTCCTCCATTCTCCTCTTGGGATCTTGGGCACGCACGCACACGCACCTGGCGTGAGTTTTAAGTCACCGGGTCCGGGACTCAAACCGCAGTTGACTACATGGGAGTCCAGCAACATAACCATTACGCCAACTGCTAGTCCCAGAATTTAATGAATTTTAAAAGTCTCATAGATTTCCAGTGTTCAGAAACATGAACATGTCATCCTCATGACCCCTCCCAGCATCTAGCTCCTTTCTTTTTTCTTTCATTCTTTATCATTATTATTATTGTTTCAAAATTTTTTATGATGTATAGTGCATGGACTTCCTAGAGAGAGACAGAGAGAGGGGAGAGGGAAAGTGAGATATCACCCGCGCAAAGGGGATGGCCACACTGCAATCCTGTCTTCTCCATTCTCTCTAGATTTTAGGCATGCAAACTGTACCTGGCATGTTTTTCTTTTTATAAAGAATTATTTTATTTAACTTTATTTAATATATTCTAGTTTGATCAGAGAGAGAGAGAGAGAGAGAGAAGGAAAGTAAGAAAGCAGGCTACTAGGTCTGGGACTGGAAATGTGGTCAGCCATGTGGGAGTCCAGCACCTTTAACCACCACGCCACCTGCTGGCCCCAATGCCTGGCATGTTTTCCAAGCCATTGGGTTCATGTTTTTCACGCTCTTGGGTTTGAGATTCGAATCATGCAGTCAGCCATGTGGGATTCAGCACCTTACCCACCATGCCACCTGATGGCCCCAGCTCCTTTCTTAGCCATTTTCTCTGCTTTGGTTTTGCCCGTTTCCCCCCATCATACTTGGCTTTGTTGACGCTGCCCACTTTATTCCTTTACCAATTCCCATTTATGTTCTTGATCCTCTTTTCCAGCCACTAAAATGGCTCAAGATAAACCACACATACAGATAATTAAGGCTCGAATTTCAGAGTTTCCGTGTGTGGTTTCCAAACTCCTGGTAAGGTTTCTGTGCTTTTACTTACTAGTGCACAGCAGGTATTGTATAAAGAATTATCTCGTGGGTATAGATATGGGAGGGCACAAATTATGTTCTTTTCCTATGTTTTCTTCCTTTGCTAAACTATAGAAACTTACAGAGCAGAGGTTATGTGTGACCAGTTATTGGATATATAGACCTTGACTATAACTGCTTGTCTGTATTTTCAGAAATAAGTTATTTGATGTGATAAGTAATGTTACCATTGAATCTAACAACTTAAACATAATAAATGAATTATTTTAAAGTTGGTAATATGGACCTGTAGGATAAAACCAGCGTATAAAAACTATACAGGGAAAAGATGCCCTTCCACTTTAGCCCCTTAGTTTTCCCAAAGAAAATCATTGTTTTCTTTTTGAGTATACTTTCAAGAGAGAGTCTCCGCTTGTAGTTTCTCTCTTACGTTTTTTTAAAAAAGAATTATTTTATTTAACTTTATTTTAATTTTAATTTGACCAGAGAGGGAGAGAGTGTGTGTGTGTGTGTGTGTGTGTGTGTGTGTGCACGCGCGTGTGTGTGACAGAGGGAGAGGGAGAGAAGAAGGGAGGGAGGGAGGGAGGGAGGGAAAGGGAGAAAGCAAGCCACCAGATCCGGGACTCAGACCATGGTCAGTCATGTGGGAGTCCAGTGCCCTTAACCACCACACCACCTACCAGCCCCTCTCTTTAATGTTTTATTATAACCTCTTTTTTTTTTCCCTTAACACAAAAGTTAGCATGTTAGGGGACCAGTAGTTGATGTAATGGCCGTGTCGCTGGACTCCCATGTAGTCAACTGTGATTCGAGCCTCGGACTCAGTGTCTTAAACTCAAGCCAGATGCGTGTGCATGCATGCCCAAGATCCCGAGAGGAGAATGGAGGAGAAGGGATTGCAGCGTGGCCTTCCCCCCTGGGGGGGGGGGTGATTTCTCGCTTTCTATCTCTTTGTCTCTCTCTGTCTTTCTGGCGTGTGCACGCACCCTAAACCAAAAACTTTTCAAAAAAAAAGTTATCATGTTATGTATGCTATATTTTGCTTTTCCAATGAATAATCTATCTTGGAAATTGTTAGTGATACTGATTTGTTTAAAGGCTGTGCAGAATTGCATTGCATGAATGTCCCATAATAAGCAGTCTCCTGATTGGTGTTTTAATTTGACCAGAGAGAGAAGGGAAAGTGGTCTGGGACTCAGACCGCATTCAGCTATGTGGGTGTCCAGCGACTTAACCACCATGCCGCCTGGTGGGCTCGTGATTCCATCTTTCATCCACTCGAAATTTGTCTTGTGTAAGGGGTGAGGTAGGGGTTTAACTTAAATGGTTTCCAGATAACTACTTAGTAGTCTCCAAATCATTAGTTTAATTATCCATCTCTTTTACCCTGATAAACTGTATTATCTCTATTACAGTCTAACTTACTAGTTTATTACATGTATTTTTTTTTCTGGGTTTTGTGCTGTCCCATTGTTTTGTTCATGTGCCAGTATTGCAGTATTATATTTACTCTGGGTTTATCATATCTTTTATCTGGTAACCTCTCCTAATTACTCTTAGTTTTTAGAAGACTGAGTGTTTATTTTGTCTAATAACTCCCTGCCTCATTTCATTAATAGTTCTATTTGGCTATACAGTATTGATTTTTTAGGCTTATATAGGATATTTGACATTTTTATGAGACTGAATTTTCCTAACCAAGAGAAAGCAAGGTGAATACACTTAAATGTATTATACCTGCCTGGAAAATTGTGCGTAGTTAGATTGCTGCAGCCAGGAGGGCAGTTTGACCACGATGAAGTCCCTCTCTGGGAGCATCCGTATCCTCTCCCCTGTCCTGACCTGTGGGGAACATCCCTGCGAGGCGTGGAAATGGCCATAGAACTCTTATTACCTAAGCCGCACCTCTTGCTTTCAATGAAGAGGGAACATCATTGGCTTCTTTTAACTGTCGTGATCGAAATGTGTTCTGATTTTTTCCTCCTAAGTATTAGTTTCATTAACCTATAATAAGTATTACTTGTGGAGTTACATATTGTATTCTGGGTATTTTCACTCATTCGGCTGGTTTTCAGAAATCCTCAGAAGAGCAAATTGCCAAACTACAGAAACTTCATGCAAAGGAGCTGGCCAGCAAGGAGCAGGAACTGACCAAGAAGTTTCAGACCCGAGAAAGGGAATTTCAGGAGCAGATGAAAGTAGCTCTTGTAAGTACCCATTTTGTTTTCATTATGGGTAAACTTCAGAGGGGTCCTCCTCCCACCCCTGCCTCCCAGTGAGGTCAGACTACCAGCAGCTTTCACCTTTGGGTCTGTAGAGAGGATCAGAAATGGGCAAGCAAGACTGTCAGAGCTTGTTTGCTTAGTTAGCATTGTGAGAAAATGAAATTCACTGACCTAACGATCTTTCATCACTTGGTCCATTATGCTATTCTGGCAATAAGCCATAGTTAGGGAGAAGAAAATGGAAAGATGGGTTAATTGAAACATCAACTGCACACTTCAGGAAGAATGTCTAAAAACCCACCAGACTGGGACCAGCAGTTAGCGTAATGGCTATGTCACTGGACTCCCACGTAGTCGACTGTGGTTCAAGTCTCGGACCTGGTGGCTTAAACTCACGCCGGGCGCGTGTGCATGTGTGCCCAAGATCCTCAGAGGAGAATGGAGGAGAAGGGATTGTGAAATAGCCATCCCCCTGGGGGGGGGGTGATTTCTTGCTTTCTGTCTCTCTGTCTCTCTGTCTGTCTGGCGAACGCACACGCCCTATAACAAAAACCTCTCAAAAAAATAAAAAAAGAAAAACCCACCAGACTAAATATACCTAGCATTCAAGGCTGGAAAGTTTTGTCTGAATGTATATTAAAGAAGAAAAAAATGAAGCCCAGCCCTGTAGCCTGATGGTTAGAGAACCCACACCTCAGGCAACTTGAAAAACACGTCAGTGAGCCAGCCAGTGGCGTGCTGGTTAAGGTGGCTAAATCCCACACGGTTTGAGTTCTGGACCTGGGGGCTTGGAGAACATATCAGGTATGTGCATGTGTATGCCAAACCCTGAAAGGAGATTGGAGTTGTGAAAGGGGCCATCTCACCCAGGGAGTGCTTTCTCACTCTCTCTGTCTCTCACTCTCTCTCTGGTGAGTGCACATGCTCTCTAACACCATTTTTGAAAATTTTAGAAGAAGCAAAACACATCAGGTGCATGTCCATGCCTTCCCAGAATCTCAGCACAGTGGAGAGATGGAGCAGAAGGGATTGTGGCGTGACCATGTTCCATGGATAGTGTTTTCTGACTTTCCTTCTTTGTTTCTGTCTGGTGAGCACATACACTCTCTGGAAAAATTAAAAAGAAAAAATAATAGTTGAATTAATGAAAACAATAATCAGAAAAGTAAAGATTCAGGTTTTACAGAAAGATTTGTTGAAATAGTATAACTTAAAAGTTTATAACAAAAATTTTTTTTCAATTGGGAAAATATGTTGCCATAAAAATGTTCATAGCAAAATGTAGTTTTTAAAAAATATAAAGTTATTTTTTATAAAGTAATATGTATTATTTATTTATTTTAAAAATTTAAACAAAATAATTCTTTTTTAAAAATTTTCTTTGGAAACATTTTTTAAAAAATAATTAATTTACATTCATTCCCTGAGCATTGTTACAGTTTCCCATCCAGAATATAATGCATAGTGGCTTAATCATGCATGTTATCATCAATAATTTTCCATTTCTGGTTTTATATGTGTGTGTGTGTGTGTGTATCACACACACACATATATCTTACCCCTCTTTCTCACTCTCTGACATTTCCCACCTTCCTCCCACACTATCTCAAGTATCTACAGCTGTTTTCCATTCCTTTTATTCCCTACATTTTATTGAGTCACAGAATTGCTTAAATAATCTAACTTCTTTCGATAGCAAGTTCAGCTGGTATATACATATCCGTGAATACATGTCTGACTCTAGGTGTGAATCTCTAGTAGAATGAATATACTATAAGGTAGCACCTGGCTGGTGCTATATAGCTTACTTTGGTCATTAAATAGGTATTTTTAAATATATTTTTTAATTTCAAGAAAAGCAGTTTTAGCTTTAATAAATCAAAGAAATGTTAAGTAACTTTGCAGAATCCTAACCTGTTCAAATAGTAGGTACATGAACCTATTGGGAGCTTAAGACAGGACAAAAATCCTTAAACCAGAAAACAAAGCCTAGAAGAAAATCAGCAATGTTTTAGTCAAAAGTCATAAAATTCTGTTTCACCAGTTCAGTCTCATAGACTGAATCTATTTTCTGTTGTGGTTCAATCTTCCCAATTAAATTCTGGGATATAATATTCAACTTCAGACTTCTCCCTATGATTAAGTTGGCCATTTTCTTAGTTATTGAACTCTTATTTCTGTGTGTCTGTATTTAATTTTCCTGGTATAGCATTCTCTTCAGAACTTCTTGAAGATCTGGTCTGGTCTTGGTAAATTCTTTCAGGTTCTGTTTATCTGAGAATGTTCTTGTCTTTTCTTCCCATAAGAAGAATAATATTGCTGGGTACAGTATTCTTGGTTGAAATTGCTTTTCCCTTAACACTTTGAATATATTTTCCCATTCTTTCTTTGCTTGCATTGTTTCTGATGAGAGGTCTGCTGTCAGCCTGATGGGATATCCTTTGTAGGTAACTTGCTGTTTTTCTCTTGCCAATCTTAGTATCTTGTCTTTGTCTGTGGTTTTGGTCAATCTTGCTGTAATGTTCTTGGAGAAGATCATCTTGGGTTGATTCTATTTGGGGTCCTTTGTATTTTTGGGGTCTGAACCTTTGAATGCCTCTCTAGGTTCGGAAAGTTTTCTTCCAGGATTTCATGGACTAGATTTCAATGCCCTTATGAGTCTCTTTGCCTTCTGAGATACCAGTTATCCAGATGTTTGGATGTTTGATGTCTAGACTACAGGCATGTGCCACTGTTCCTAACTTTAGGAGAGGCGAGGATGCCTCCCATGTGGCCTTCAGCCTATTGAATAGCATCAGAAATGCATGCGACTGGGTCTACTTTTTTATGCGCATACAGAGATATATTAAAGTATAGTTTACATTAATATGGTCTATTTAAAATGATAAATACATATTTTTAGTTAATTTTCAATTAATATAGCCGTTATAGTGTGATTGTTCAGTACATGAATAAAATGTGTAATGGTTAAACCAGAGAAGTTAGTCTACACATCATCTCAACCATTTGTAACATTGTATCCAGTGTTTATCCACATTATCCCCAATGTGTTTTGTAACAGTATATATTGTTCCTTCTATTTACTTGCAATTTTGTTTCTGTTAGTTAACATCTCTCTATTCTCCTTTCTCCTCTGTCCTTTCCAGCATCCTGTTAGTCATTCTGTATCTCCCTACTTCCATAGGGTCATTTTCTTCAGTTTCTATATATGGAGAATATGTGGTATTTCTGTTTCTGTTCCTAGCTTATTTCAGTGAACCTAATATCCTCCAGGCTCACCTATTCAAAACTTCCACTGACTAGATTTTTGTCCTTTTTAATGATTATATAATATTCCATTGTGTATATACAACATTTTCTTTATCCATTCATCCGTAGATGGATACTTATGTTGCTTCCATATCTTGACTTTGGTGAATAGTTCTGCAGTAAACATCAAGTGCAGACTAAAACGTTTTTAATATCGGTGTTACAGAAACTAGTATGTTGTTATTAGTCTACTCATAATGTGGTACAGGATGTTATACTAAAGCAGAGTGCTTCACTAAAGTATATAGATAAGTACAATTTTCTTTTTTCTTTTTTTTTAGTTCTCTTTCTTTCTCTCTTTCTCTCTTTCTCTCTTTCTTTCTTTCTTTCGCTTTTTGTCTTAGGGCACATGTACTCACCAGAGGGAGACAGAAAGAGAGAAAGAGAAATTTCTCCCAAGGGGTATGGCCTCACAATCCCTTCTCTTTCATTCTCCTCTTAACAATTTCGGCACATGTACACAGCTTGATTTTTAAACCACTTAGTCTGGAACTTGAACTACTCACTTGGCCATGTGAGAGTCCAGTGTCTTAACCACCATGTCATCTGCTAGTCCCAAGTACAGTTTTTTAAATTGAAGTTCAGTTAAGAAATGAACATTTAATGTGTTGATTCAGTGTTAAAAAATGCTTTCTAGAAATCCTCTTCTCAAATCATAAACACTTAGGAATACTAATATATAATAAGGATAAAGAAACTTTTCAGGACTTGTATTCACAAATAATCTGGTTTTGATTTGGTTTCCAATGTGGGGTTCTCATCTATGATGAGGTATTTCTTACAGATTATATAAACTTAAAATCTAGTTTTTAGACCTGGAGTTAAAACACTTAACTCTGTAATATAGATAGCTGTTGTGTAACTCCTCACATGCAGCAGGGTTTTGCAAAAGCATTTTGAATAGAGAGAATAGCAGACATAGCATTACTGGAAGAAAATTTTTCGTCTCAGTAGTAATTGTGGCAAAGATTGAGTGGACCGTACTCGAACAACCATAGTACGTTGTTGCTATAGACTAAAGCATGCGAGGAGACAGATGGTAACATTGCTTACCTCATAGGGCTGGGGGCAGATCTTTAACTTTGGGAATGCTAAAGATTTATGTGGGTCTAAAGTGGTATTAATTGTTTTTGGCACAGGAAAAGAGTCGATCAGAATATCTGAAGATCACCCAAGAAAAAGAACAGCAAGAATCTTTGGCCCTGGAAGAGTTAGAGCTGCAGAAAAAGGCAATCCTCATAGAGAGTGAAAATAAACTTCGGGACCTCCAGCAAGAAGTGGAGACATACAGAACTGTACGTTTAAAAACCAGTCATTTTCCATCCAGCATCGTGAAATTATTTACGAAACTAAAACCATTCGTTTCTCTCCAGTTAGTGTGAAGTTTTGGAGAAGCCTTTGTTTTACTGGATAGAGTTGGGTATGCATGCTCTTCACTCTTAGATAGGGAGAGCTGGTCTTGGGAGTCACTTTGGCTTTGGGCTCTGCGTTTACTCCACGGTGCTTCTAGTTCTGCCGTTAGCTGGTGTCTCTGTCAGCCCTCACGCTGCTGGTTTGCACTCGAGCTCTGCAGCATCTCCACTCGCTGCTCTCATCCCCGATCTCAGGAAGGTGCCTCCCTTCATAGGCCGCATTTGCTCTGGCACCGTCTTGCTTGTCTCCTTTATCTCATGCTAGGTCCTGCCTGAACGTCAGCCTTTCTCCGCTTAGATCACAGTTTTATTACACCAGTGCCTTGCTTTTGCATCTAAGTTCCTCTAAATTTTCCATTTTAAATGTAGTCCTATAAGAAATATATTTGTGTAAATGTCTCAGTGTGCACATTTGAAGGCCTTCTGGCATTTTCTTCATCACTATTTAAAATACATGACCTATTTTTGAATGTGACTGTTATTCAGCCTCTTTGCCTTTTTTGCTTTGATTAGAAAGTGAAAAGATCACACTTCTTACCTGTAGTTCTAAAGTGTGCTTTATTTTTCCACTAGCATCATTTACCAAAGGCGACACAGTAGGTGAAATGGGGACTTAGGAGGTCTAGGTCTCCCTCTTGCTGGCGTTGTAAGTTAATTGTACTGTGATTTCCTCACTCGTCACCTGAGGAGGTTGGGTTTGATCATTCCTTAGGTCCTCGCCAGCTCTGACATTCCTGGCTCTGTCTAACTTAGTTGTTTTTTGTTTTTTTTTTTTCCTTCAGAATAAAAATTGATATTTTATGAAGTAATAGTAATCTTTAGTAAAATTAGTGTAAGTTCTTTCTTTTTAGGAATAAAAATCTTCTAAATAATAATTTTGGGGTAGAAATATCAGATAAATTATTTTTCTTCCAAAATTAAATCATGAAAAGTAATAAAATACTATTGGAGACCTTAAAAGAAAACAGAGAAAAAAAAAATCCATCTTTCTACCAAAAGTTACTGTTGATCTGTTTTATGATTTTTTAAATATTCATTTAGAATATTCTTTAAAATATAGTTGAAGTGTTTACATAAATAAGTAGAAAGAATCTAGGACTATGGGTTATGTTAAAAATGTTTTTTCTAAAAATAAAAAGTTCTCTGGTGGTGATAGTGTATATGGTAATATCTGGCTGGACTAATACACTATTCATGCTTGGAAAAGTCATTTTTTATGATGTACAGATGTAACTGTAAAAATTTAAGTATAAATTTTTTAAAATTTAGTCAAAATACACATATTTCACAAAATTTGTTTCTGATCATAAGACAATTTTTATTTTGGAGCTATTAAAATGACAATCGTAGATATAAAAAATATGTATTTGTTATATGATTCCTTTAGTAGTTGAAAACAGGTATCCTTCTGGTGTTTAGTATTATATGTAAGGTTACTTATCTAAGCTTTAATCTTTAAGAGGCTGGAAGATATTATGTATGTGTATCATTGTTAATAAGTAGATATGCATTTTAATTAAAATAAATCCATTTTCATTGACAGAGAATTCTTGAATTGGAAAGTTCTTTGGAGAAAAGTGTACAAGAAAACAAAAATCAGTCAGAAGATTTAACTGTTCATTTGGAAGCTGAAAAAAATAAGCACAATAAAGAAATGACAATCATGGTTGAAAAACACAAGAGGGAATTGGAGAGCCTACAGCACCAGCAGGATAACATTTGGACTGAAAAACTCCAAGTCTTAGAACAACAGCATCAGATTGAAATGGAACATCTTAGAGAAAAATGTGAGCAAGAAAAAGAAGCATTGTTGAAAGATAAAGAGATTCTCTTCCAGGCCCACATAGAGGAGATGAATGAAAAGACTTTGGAAAAGCTTGACGTTAAGCAAACAGAACTGGAATCATTGTCCTCTGAATTGTCCGAAGTATTAAAAGCCCGTCACAAGCTAGAAGAGGAACTTTCTGTTCTCAGAGATCAAGCAGATAAAATGAAGCAGGAATTAGAGGCCAAGTTGGATGAACAGAAAAATCATCACCAGCAACAAGTTGACAGTATCATCGAAGAGAAGGAAATGTCTATCCAGAGAACAGAAAAGGCACTGAAAGATGAAATTAATCAGCTTGGGCTTCTGCTGAAGGAAAAAGACAAGCACCTGAAAGAGCATCAAGCGCATGTTGAAAATTTAGAGGCAGATATTAAAAGGTCTAAAGGGGAACTCCAGCAGGCATCTGCTAAGCTGGATCTTTTTCAGTCATACGAAACTACCACACATGAGCAGGCAAAAGCATACGAGGAACAGTTGGCCCAAATGCAGCAGAAGTTGTTGGATTTGGAAACAGAGAGAATTCTTCTTAGCAAACAGGTAGCTGAGGCTGAAACACAAAAGAAAGATGTTTGTGCTGAATTAGATACTCACAGAATCCAAGTGCGGGACTTAATGCAGCAACTGGAGAAACAGAGTAATGAAACGGAGCAAAAAGTGAAATCGTTAACGGAACTCTATGAGTCTCGACTTAAAGATAATAACATAGAGCATGAACAGACAAAACAAATCTTGATGGAAAAGGAAAATACGATTTTACAAATGAGAGAAGGACAGAACAAAGAAATAGAGATACTCAAACAGAAGTTGTCAGCCAAGGAGGACAGTATCAGTACTTTGCATGAGGAATATGAAACCAAATTTACAAACCAAGAAAAAAAGATGGAGAAAATTAAGCAAAAAGCAAAGGAGATGCAAGAAACATTAAAAAAGAAACTGTTGGATCAGGAAGCTAAACTTAAAAAAGAGCTTGAAAACACTGTTCTAGAGCTTAGTCAGAAAGAAAAACAGTTCAATGCCAAAATGCTGGAAATGGCACAGGCTAACTCAGCTGGAATCAATGATGCAGTGTCAAGACTGGAGACAAACCAAAAAGAGCAGATAGAAAGCCTGACTGAGGTGCACCAGCGAGAACTCAAGGAAGTCATAGCAACCTGGGAAAAGAAACTCCATCAGCAAGCTGAAGAACTTCAGGAGAAACAGGAAATCCAATTACAGGAGAAAGAACAAGAGGTAGCAGAGCTGAAGCAAAAGATCCTCATATTTGGGTGTGAGAAAGAAGAGATGAGCAAGGAAATAACATGGCTGAAGGAAGAAGGTGTTAAGCAGGATGCAGCATTGAAAGAATTACAGGAGCAGTTCAAGCAGAAGTCTATTCAAATGAATTCTCTCTCACAAAATGAAACTACGCTGAAAACGCAAGTTGAAAAGCTGGAGGTGGACTTGACTCACTCTCTGAAGGAAAATGCTTTTCTTCAAGAGCAACTAATGGAACTGAAGACGCTGGGAGAAAAAGATAAGCTGACGCTTTGTGAGTTGACTGACAAATTGAAAACCACCGATGAAGAATTCCGGAGTTTGAAATCGTCCCATGAAAGAAGTCAGAAAAGCCTAGAGGACAAAAGCTTGGAATTCAGAAAACTAGCTGAGGAACTAGTTCAGCTAGGTGTTTACTGTAAGAAAACTGAAGCTTTATTAGAAGCGAAAACAAATGAGCTACTCAACATTAGTATTAGTAAAACCAGTGCCATGCTTTCTAGAATTTCCCATTGTCAGCACCGCACAACTACACTTAAGGAGGCACTGCTACTTAAAATCCTCAGGGTTTCCGAATTAGAAGCACAACTTAGACAGCTAACAGAGGAGCAAAATACGCTAAGTAGTTCTTTTCAACAGGTTACTCTTCAGTTAGAAGAAAGGGACAATCACATTAAGAGCCTGAAGGCTGATATCGAAAGTCTTGTAACAGAAAAAGAAGCCTTACAAAAGGAAGGTGGCAATCAGCAGCAGGCTGCCTCCGAAAAGGAGTCTTGCATCACACAGTTGAAGAAAGAATTGTCTGAAAACATCAACGCTGTCACGTTGATGAAAGAAGAACTTACAGAAAAAAAATCTGAAATTAGCAGTCTTAATAAACAACTAACGGACTTGAATGTTCAGCTTCAGAATAGCACCAGCCTCGCTGAAAAAGAAGCAGCCGTTTCTTCACTAAGTATGCAGTACGATGAAGAACGACGGGAATTGCAGGATAAGGTGCAAGATTTGTCTTTGAAAGTTGATACTCTGAGTAAAGAGAAAATGTCTGCTCTTGAGCAGGTGGATCACTGGTCCAACAAATTCTCGGAATGGAAGAAGAAAGCACAGTCGAGATGCACACAGTACCAAAACACTATTAAAGAATTGCAGATACAACTTGACTTAAAAACCAAGGAATCTGGTGAAAAGAACGAGCAGATAAATTTACTGAAGGAAGACCTTGATCAGCAAAATAAAAAATTTGAAGGTTTAAAGGGCGAAATGGAAGAAAAGATCAAGTTGGAGAAAAAGGAATGTGATTTAGAGACTGAGTTAAAGACTCAAACAGCGAAAATTGTGGAATTAGAGGACTGTGTTACGCAGAAAACCATTGAAATTGAGTCCTTAAATGAAGTTCTTAAAAATTCTAATCAACAAAAGGATATTGAACAGAAAGAATTGTTTCAGAAACTTCAGCGCTTTCAGGAGTTAGAAGAAGAAAAGGACAACAAGATTAAAGAAACGGAAGAAAAAGTTTTAAGGCTTGAAAAGCAGTTGTCTTCCATGACAACTGAACTTGAAACTACGAAGAAGGAATTGGAACTTGTGAATTCAGGTATGAAAAACAAAGAAGAGGAATTAAAAGCATTGGAAGATAGACTGGAGTTAGAAAGTGCTGCAAAATTAGCGGAGCTGAAGAAAAAGGCGGAACAAAAAATTGCCGCCATCAAGAAACAGTTGTTATCTCAGATGGAAGAGAAAGAACAGCAATATAAGAAAGATACCGAAAGCTGTTTGAATGAGCTTAATACAAAACTGCAGGAAAGAGACAAGCAAGTTCTCCTGTTGGAAGAAAAACTTATGTCGGTGGAAAGTTCGCTTGAGTCAGAAACACCCATTTTACCCAGATCAGCAAAAAATGCCACAGTGTGTATGGAGCAAGACGAAGTAGATTCCCAAGGCTGTGTGCAGAAAACATACGACGAAAAACTCAGTGATTTACAAAGAAGCTTAACTGAAAAAGAAAAGCTAATACAGAAGCTAGAGCAGGAGAAAGCAGACACCATTTCTTCACATTCTGAAATACAGCGCAAATACCAGGAGCTCTTAATAAAATTAGAACACGCCGAAGCAAAGCAGCGTGAGGATCAAGTTATGATAGATCGCCTTCAAGAAGAACTTGGAGAACAAACCAAGAAATGTTCCTCGATAATATCCCAGCACGTGGAAGAAGAGGGAGGTCAAAACAACCGAGCGCCAAAGCAAAACCTGGAAAATGCGATTGACGATGTCCAGAAAACCCTCCAGGAGAAAGAACTAACCTGTCAGATCTTGGAGCAAAAGATCAAAGAGCTGGATTCCAGCTTAGAACGCGAGAAGGAAGTACATAGAATTGAAATGGAAGAGCTGAGCTCCAAGTACGAAGAATTACAGGCTTTGCAGAAACAGGTGGACAGAAAAGAGAAACCCTCAGAAGTTCTGGAAGATAGTGCTGAAGGAAAGTCCGAATCACAGGTAGTTCAACCCCAGTTGCTTAATAATCCAGATGCCCAGCACAATGACCTGGAGTTGAAATTAGCAGGAGCAGAGCGAGAAAAGCAGAAGCTGAGCAGGGAGGTCGCGAGACTGCAGAAAGACCTCCGAGTGTTGAGGAAGGAGCATCAGCAAGAGTTGGATCTCCTGAAGAAAGAGCGTGCACACGAAATGGAC